TGCCAGGGCTTAGAGCGCTCGAGATTTGATCTTTCGATGCTTGATGGGCCTAGAGCAATGCCAGGGTTTAGTGCTCGAGATTTGATCTTTCGAGGCTTGAGGGCCTGGAGCGATGTCAGGGCTTAAAGTGCTCGAGATTTGATCTTTCGAGGCTTGAGGGCCTGGAGCGATGTCAGGGCTTAAAGTGCTCGAGATTTGATCTTTCGAGGCTTGAGGGCCTGGAGCGATGTCAGGGCTTAAAGTGCTCGAAATTTGATCTTTCGAGGCTTGAGGGCCGGGGGCAATGCCAGGGCTCAAAGTGCTCGAGATTTGATATTTCGAGACTTGAGGGCCTGGAGCGATACCAGGGCTTAAAGTGCTCGAGATTTGATATTTCGAGGCTTGAGGGCCTGGAGCGATACCAGGGCTTAAAGTGCTCGAGATTTGATATTTCGAGGCTTGAGGGCCTAGAGCGATGCCAAGGCTTAGAGTGGTCGAGATTTGATCTTTCGAGATTTTTGACTTTTCAACTTGCCACAGAGGATTTAACTAGGGTTATATTGACTTGTCAACGTGCCACATCAGCGTCTGATAAGTGACACCCACACCAATTTATACTATATAAATGGTATAATATGTATATTATTTTCTTTGTCCAAAGTATGCTAATATAATGGTGAACTCACAATAAGTATCATGAGGTAGACCACATGATAACATTACTCAGTGAAAAATTCAAAATTGTATTTAAATATGCAATATATTAATATCAAATAATAATTATTTATGTTTATTTAAAAATCATATTTCTTGCTTTTGAAATGCAAAAGTAATAATTAAATTATTGTATTTAAGTTTTGCTAAAGTTTTCAATATATATAATATAATTAGTCTAATAGATAATTAGATGTATATTAAATCATTAACACAATTGTAGGTCGGCCGCAATTCAATTTCTCTTCTAATTTCAATTTTTAAAAGGATATAAAAGTTCTTTCTCTTTCTTTTTTTAGAAGGTCGGATCCCCTTTTTTAGTAACAATTTTTTTTTCCATAAATATTGATTCAGGGCAATCTCACTTTATGCATGCGTATATGTAGTAGTGGTGTGGTGGGGGAGGTGGCAGTGGAAGGCCACGGTTAATCCAAATTAAAGATATATTTTATTTATTTTTTTTTTTTTTAAAAAACTATCTATTATAGTTATTTTATAATTAATAATTAATTAAAAATTAAAAAAAAAGTTAAAAAATTATTCTTTCAATTAATCGTTGGATTAGATCTAAGGTCACTATAGAGCAATTATGTTTAATTTTGGTCACCAAAATATAATTTTTTCTAATATTTATATACATAATTTTATTTGAACAGTACTATATATATATATGTGTGTGTGTGTGTGTGTATTATACATGCTTTTAATGTGAATATTTAATATTGTAAGTTTTAATTGAATGTAAAATTATGGTATTAACTATTAAAAAAAAAAAACTATTAAATTTTAGTAAAATAAAATTGTGAATTGAATTTAGAGATAAGAAAAAAAGGTTATATGTACACATGTGAATATGCATGCATATGAAACCTGTGAGAAAAGACTATAAAGGAGCAAAGTGGATATGTGAGTGATGTAAAAAAAAAAAAAAAAAAAAAAAAAAAATGTGATAGATTTTAAAAATAAAAACCACAAAGATAAGAAAATTTTGAAAGAAAAAAAAAAATCAAGACCGGAAAGAGAATAACGTTGTGTTGGAATTTAATGGGAATTGGATTTAGTGGGATTTGAAAAGAAAATTTGTAATTAAAAAATTATGAGGAAGTGTTGTAGGATTTGAAGGGATTTGGTATATAATTCCAAAATTATCCTTCTTTTAACAATTTTTAGAGGGAAAATTAGTTGGTGGTGACCAAACATAAACAAAATTGTTAAAAAGTGATCTTAAATTCAAAAAAAGATGGTTAGTGACTAATTTTAAAACTTAATTACTAATAACAATTTGGTCAAAAACTACTTGTTTATAAAATATTGTAAAAATAAAATTTAGATGACAAAATTGTGGATTAATTCTCCTCTCTTTCTTGTTCTATTTTTGCCTTTTTAGTTTGCAACTTACCAATAAAAAAATTAAGATTTCTTTAATAACCTTATATCTTAAATTTATAATTTCTTTATTAACCCCTTTTTTTTTTTTTTTTTTTTTTTTACGGCTCTCCACCATGATCGAAAAATATATTGAGCACAGAACTAAGAATATTATATCCATAATTATAATTTATATGAATTTATATACTTTCAAGTTTGATCTAATTACACATATCTATATATAGATAGATAGATCTTGTTCACAAAATAAAAGATTAAAAATCACAACACCATTCAAATACACCTTCATTCCCTTCCCTCTTCATCTTATCCTCTGATTGGGACAACAAAAGTGTTTAATGTTGGTAATAAATTTGTTCAATTAAAAATATATATATTACAATAAGGATATTTATGTAATAAATCATCAAATGGTCATTTATTTAGTAATTAAGTTTCAAAATTGATGTCTATTTCTCTTTTCCAGATTTTCAGATCACTTTACAACAATTTTGTTTAGGTTTGGTCACCAAAATATTATTACAAATTTTAGTGCAAATTACAATTCAATTTCATTTCTCATATCAATTTTTAAAAGGATATATTTGTTTTTAAAATATACAGTATATTTTTAGTGTCCCGTCTATAAAAGAAATAAGTACGGAGTAATTAATAAGCCTAAAAAGTACTCTGTAACCAAGAAGAACAGCCACTCTAAAAAGAAAGTCGTGTTTCCTTAGCCGTCCTCTCTATTATATATATATATATCAATAGTTATACTATTATTAGATGTGCAAAATTTTTTAGTATTTTAGTATTTATTTATTAATATAAAAAAATGTTTATTAATTGATAAAAAGAGTTTCTGTTTGAGAAGAATATATTCAAAGAAAATAAAATAATTTCTATAAAACTCTACCACAAATTACCTATTTTATTTTCTATAAAACTCTATCACATATATATATATATATATATATATATATATATATATATATATATATATTAGATCAGGTTTGTGGTATGCATATTTTTTCTTTTCTCTTTATAATTGGTCTCATAAGTTTTTTCTTTACTTTTTCTTTTTATAAGCATTATTATTATGTTATTTTACTTTTGTTTTATTTTTATTTTTTTATTTCTAATTGATGTTTAGAAGTAGTTGATTTATTTTATTTTTATTTTCTCTTTCTATTTGATGTTTCTAATAAATGTTTAGAAGTGGTTGATTTTTTTTTTTTTTTCATTTTTTTATTATTATTTTTGGTTCATTCTTAATTTATTAGTATTTTGAGTCATTATTGTTATTTTTTTTTCTTTTTTTAGAAGTATCATTCTTCTTTTTTCTTTAGTTTTTATTTTTATTTTACTCTTTGTAAGTTTTTTTGTTGTATTGAGAAGCTTGGATTGTTATTATTATTATTATTATTATTATTTTATTTTTCCTTTTTAGAAGCATTATTAGTATTTTTTTTCTCTTGTTTTATTTTTATTTTTCTCTTTCTAATTGATGTTTAAAAGTAGTTGGTTTGTTTTATTTAATTTTTCTCTATCTAATTGATGTTTAGAAGTGGTTGATCTGGTAAGTTTATTTTGAATTGTGATTTTTTTTTCTTTTTTTCTTTTATTTTATTATTTTTTATTTTTGGTTCATTCATAATTTATTATTATTTTGAGTCATTATTATCATTTATTTTTCTTTACTTTTTATTTTTCAAAAGTATCATTATTTTTTTTCTTTAGTTTTTATTTTTATTTTACTCTTTCTAAGTTTACTTTGGATTGCAATTTTTTTTCTCGAGTTTTTATTCTTTATATATTATTTTGAGTCGGGTTTCAATACTTTTTGATTTTCCGTTGTACTTAATTTTGAATTGAATTTGTTGTTAAAGATTTTTTATATGTTATTTTTTTCAATTTTTATTATTTTTTTTATTTTTGGTTCATTCTTAATATATTATTTTTAGTAGGGTTTTAATATTTTTGATTTTCCGTTGGACTTAATTTTGAATTACCTATTTACCTATTTATTATTTTTAATAAAGAAAATCTAATTAGACAATAATTATTAATTTTCTTTTATGAATTAATAGAGTTTTTTTTGTTAATACATAATAAAATATTTAATAAATTAATTGGTGCATAAATAATTTATTCATCGCATATTATCCTCATACGGTTTTTTTTTTGGGCAGTTGTTTAGGAGGCATAAGCATCGCCTCTCAATCCAATCCGCCTTCCCCTGGCCTCAACACAATCTTGATGTTTTTTTAAGTAACACATACATATACACAGTAACAAGTTAACAACATTAATATATTATATTAAATATTAAAAGGAGTGCTATTGATAATTCAATTTTAAATTTATTAACTTTGATACAAATCAATTATCAATTAAAATTAAATAGGTAAAATAAAATAATTTCTCTGAAATAAATTAAATAGGTAAAATAACTTTGACTCAAATTACATTTTACTATGAGTTTTTATTTAAAAAAAATCTAATTAGACAAAGATATATTTAAAAAAAAATAACATAAATTTCTTATTTTATGTTTAATAAACAAAAATATATTTAAAGAATTTTTATAAATTCTAACACAAATTACTTATTTATCTATTTGTTATAAATTTTTTAATAAAAAAATCTAATTAAACAAAATATTATTAATATAAAAAATACTTATTAATTAATTTAAAAAATAAAATAATTCCTTTAAAACTCTGTCATAAATTATTTTTTATTATAAATTTTTTAATAAAAAAATTAATTAGACAAAAATATATTTAAATAAAATAAAATATTTTTTTTTAAATTTTATCACAAATTATTTATTTTATTTTTAGAGTATCTGGAAAACTCGTAGCACAAATTACCTATAAAATATAGATGTGATAGATCCAATCCTTCTGTGTAGGTTAGTCGCAACGGTGGAGATGGCAGATCTCGACGAAGAAAGCGTGCTCAATAATTTCATCAAAAATATGGCCAGTGCACTATCCTGTCGGCGCCCGATGTTGGAAAGCGACATGTGGGCATTTTGGAGCGAGCCGACTCTCTCTCCTTGCAGTAAGCGCCTCCTTTCTCTGTGTGTGTGTGTGTTTGTCTCCTTCAATTTCTCACTTCAATTTTTTATTTTTTATTTTTTATTTTATTAGGGTTAAAATTATCAATTAACGGAAAAGTATCTATTTGGCATGAAAATTTAATTCAATCGCATGCTCACCGAAAAGTATCTATTTGTATGGTTCTTCGATTTCTCTATCTCTCTCTCTGTCTAAATCAATTTCTCACTTTTTTTTTTTTTTTTTTTTTTTTTTGAATTTAAAATTCAGGAAAATATGTATTTGGTATGAAATTTTAATTACATCGCAAGCTTACTAGAAAACCAATATATATTTGTGTATCTACTTTATATGAGGTTCTTCGATTTCTGTCTCTGTAAAACAAATATATATATATTTATATTTGTAATTTATTTGTGTACTTTATATTTGTGTTGTTTTTTTGGGTGGTTTAAAATTTCAATTAATAGAAAAATATCTAAAATTTAATTCAATCGCAAGCTTACTGTAAAACAAATAGATATATATATTTGATAATGAAATTAATTAATTTCCAAAAAATTTCAATTAACAGAAAAATATCTATTTGGCATGAAAACACATATATTTGATATTGAAATTAATTAATTTCAAACAACCTACATGTAGGTACCACCAATCAAGGAATTACAAAGAAGATCAAATCTGCGCTTCTACACTTGAATACATATTACCATAATGATCAAGTTCTAATTCAGTTTTGGGTACCCATCAGAACAGAAACTGGGTGTTATCTTTTAACTTCAGACCAACCTTTTGGTCTTACTTATCTTGATGAAGGACTTCTCGAGTATAGGAAGCACTGTTTGAATTATAAAATTAACGTGGATGGGGAAGAAGAACAGCTTGGACTCCCTGGTCGTGTGTTCCGGAAAAAATTGCACGAGTACATCCCAGATGTGCAATATTACTCTATCCAAGAGTACCCACAACGCAGTTTTGCTCTAACTTGTGGTATTTCATCGTCTTCTGCTTTGCCGGTGTTTCACTCCTCTTCCCCAGAATGTGTTGGAGTACTCGAGTTGGTAACTAATGCAGCAGATTTCGATGTTTATGACATTATGTTTGATCCGTTTTTGATGCATGCACTTGAGGTTTGTTGAAACCCCTTAAATTTTTATTTATATTTTTCTAATTAATTTGCTTTTTTCAGCATCAAATAATATGATTTTTCCTAATTTTCATTAATTTAAACCTTACAAGATTATTCACTTCACTTCTCTTGCAGAATGCAGATTTGAGAAGTTCGGCATGTGATTGTTTAATTTCTTCGGTAAGTTAACAGCTGTAATATGCAAATGTGTTATATATATGTATATATATATATGATGCTATTTCTTCGAAATTTATATGTTTTCAGTGCAATCTGTTCTCATCAACTCGCAATCCAGGTTGCAGATGAAAATGATTCAGATGATGTGTTTCCACATATATTGGTTGAAATCTACTGTGGGTTGAAAGTTGTGTGCAGAACATACAAGCTACCTTTGGCTCTGGTGTGGGTTCCGTGCAAGCGTTTCAATACCATGGACAATAGCTCCGATGCTTTTGATGTACAAGTCTTGCACGCTGATAACAGAGCATCCTATCTTCTAGTAGATAATCTGGAGGAATTCTTGGGGTTTAGTGGGTGGAATAACTTACAAAAGGGGCAGGGAGTTGTTGGGAGCGCACATCGGTCACATGAACTATGTTTTTGCCGCGATACATCTCAGTTCAGCCTAACTGAGTACCCCTTACTGCCCATTGCACGCCTTTTTGGGTTGACTAGTTGTTTCGCGATTTACTTGCAGAGTACTTGCGCTGAAAATTCTGATTACATACTAGAGTTTTTTCTACCTCCTGAAACCACATATGTTGAAGACCCGACTACCTTCTTATCCTCTCTATTAGAAACAATGAGGCAACATTTTGGAAGAAGCAGTCTCCAAAAGGTTGAAGTTAAATGCTGGAACCTATGAGATCAAATATATGGATGATGCTGGGGATTGGATTTTAATAGCCCGTGACAAGGACTTGGAGGATTGTATAAGTGCTTCTAATTCGTTGGGCATGAAAGAAATCAAAATGTCCATTGAGGGGCGGAGCCAAGATTTCATTTTAGGGGGGCTTGCCTGCGAAAAAAAAAAAAAAAAAAAAAAAAAACCCGTAGCAAAATCACAAAATTCTCTTTTGATTCTGTTTGTAGTTTAGAAGAATCAGAACCAAATTCGTGAGTAGCGATGCCTTTTTCGGGGTGTAATGTAAAGACAGTTTCCCCCAAACAACAAAACAACAAAAAGAACCATGCCGATCTCTTATGCTTCAAAATGATATTGAATGAGTGGAATGACTGAATTACCCCTCAACATGTGAAATTTTTTTTTTTTTGAGGTGGGCAAATTTGAAAATTTTAAAAAATATATATATATAATAATATTCTTTTTTAAAAAATCAGAATTTCAGGGGGGCATGCGCCCTCCGCACTAGGTCCCTCCGCCCATGGAGCCAATTGCCAAAGTCTCTCCACGCACTAGGTCCCGCCCTCTCCACCAACTTGACTAATTATGCATGTATGTTCCTAAACTATGTGTTGATGAAATCAATCAATTATCTCAGTTTCTATTTACTAGCTACCACTTTTGTTCTCTAAGATTGTTAGTCTTCTACTTGTTCAGTTTGGTGTTTCAAAGAGAAGGCCTTATTGGGATGTAATATGAAGCAACATCTGATTTTGTTGTGTTTGTGGCCATGACATAAATGCAGTTGTTTGGCCTAGACTTGTCATGACATAAATGAACCTCAAACGATTCATTTGTTTCTTGTATTTTGATTAGGCATGTCAATCAAGTTTGTTTCTTGTATTTTGATTAGGCATGTCAATCAAGTATAAAATTTAAATGTTTGCAGTTCCAAAGGCTCTCTTGTCAAAACCGCAAGAACTGTTAGGCAATGCAACAACTTCAAGAATCCACTAGGTTGTACAAACACGCCATGTTCCTTGGTAAAATTCCTACCTACTAGAGGGATATTTTCTACTTGAGTGTAAGTGAAGTTTCCACTAATGATTGACCGATCACACATACACATGTATATTTTTCCCCCAACTATTGATTGACCGATCACACGTACATATGTATATTATTTCCCATAATAAACGGGACGCACCCGCTTAACAAGGTCCTCCCCTTATTTGGTCGATAATGGAGCAATAAAAATACTAAAATGTTCTTCCTACAATTAAAATAAAAAATAATAAAAATTCAGTTAATATAAAATGACTATCATGACCTTTATTAAACAAATTCAATTAAAGAAGTGCATTTTCGTATTTAAATAATAAAAAATAGTAAACAAAATTTAGTTAATGTAAAAATTCAGTTAAAAATAGTAAAAAATTAAGTCAAAGAAGGGCATTTTCAGTATTTAATATAATTAATTAGTCATGTGCGAGACACGTGATTTGTTAACTGTACTTTTCTAACTGTTGACTACTGAAAAACCTTAGTTTGTAACATTTTTAAATTTTTTTTAAAAAAAATTTGTTATTTGCTCAAAAAGTAAACCTTAGGGGTGTTTTAGATATTTAGCCCTTGATTAATTGACAGATCATGCATGTATATATATTTTTTCCCGGCAAACCCACACGCCTACTTTTGTCCCTATAGAAACTTGAATCTTTAACCTTCCATTTCAGAAGGTGAGGGTGATCCGACTAGGTTATTGACACTTTGAAATGCGATTGAACTAATATAGGAAAAAATGTGTAGACACGTATAAGTTTTGAACCTTTGACCTTTCGTTTGTATCTTTTTGCTCCAATGTGATTTCATTCAGGTAAGATAGATTGTGGATTGATGATTGGATGGTCGGAGACGACCGGTGAAGTGAGGATGCATTCTTGTAAGCTTTGCCTGGCTTCTCTGACTCCCCATTTTTTTTGGCACCCCTGGTATTTTTGTCATGTAGAAGGATAATGGCAACGCCATTTCTGGCAAGCATTATAAGCAGTGCTGCAATTGAAGATATATATATATATATATATATATATATATATATATATATAGATTACGTAGAGAATTGAGAAGGGCAGTTTGGACCCTAAGATAGATTGGTGGCGAGTTCTTGTTCATCCGATGCGGCTGTGAGTGCTTGTTCATATGTTGATTTTTTTGGAATGTTTTAGAATTTGACTTCACGGAAAGTTTTCATGAGTTGAGTATAGGCATTTTTTGATTTATGCAGGCTGATTTTGTTATATAAATTGAATTGTATAAATTGATTTTGATATTGAATTGTATAGAGATCCTGTCAGTTTAATATGTTAATTTCTGAAAAACCCAACTTTCTCTTATTTTTTCACTATTCCTTGCTGTAATTGTAATCTCTCTCAGTATACGTGTATAAATGTGTATGTATGTGTATACAGGTATCTGATAATCTGTGAATGGGTTTTTGATTTGGTAATAGGGTTTTGGTGTGGAAAGCTCACCAAAGGAAGTGCCAACTGGACCTGACCCTCTTCACCACCACAACAGTCCTTCCAGACCTTGATGGATCATCATCACCTCTCTGTATGTCTGAAGTAGGGTTGCAAGTTGGGCTAGCCCAACCCAGTCCAGTCCTAACCCAATCTCAACCTCAACCTGAATCGGGTTGGGTTGGGTCAGCCCGAATTGTTCCCAACATGGGTTATGGTTATAACCCACGTCAAATATTTTCGAGCGGATCAAGTCATGTTAGGTTGGGTCGACGGGTTAATTTTTTTAATTTTTTTTTTTCGGGAATTTATATATTATATATATTTGATTATATTATTATTAAAAAACAAATTATATATATATATATATATATATATATATATATATTATTTGTTTATTTTTAGGGCAAATCATTTTAGCCTCCCCATTGACCTCCATCTCTTTTCTCTCTGAACTCGCCCCCCCTCTCTTTCTCTCCAACTGCAAACTACAAAATCTACAAAAATCAAAAGTTCAAAACCCATATATTTCAGTTTTATCTATCTGCCTGCAAGAATCAAAATTTTAAAACCCATATCGGCATATCATTTCAGATTGTTCAAAAAATCAAAACCTAGATCTTTCAGTTTCCATCGCCCGCTGTTTTAGTTCGAGTTCGCTGTTCGCAACTTCAGCTTCTATCTCTCAACTCTCAAGCTCGCCCCCTTCTTTCTCTGCATACGGGGACGGCGGTAGAGAGAGAAAGATGAGACAGGAGAGAGAAAGGAGAAAAAAAAAATGAATTTTTTTAAAAAAATTTATTTTGGGTTTTGGGTTGGGTTCAGATTGAGCCTAAGCCCAACCTGAATATGTCTGGGTTTTGACAAAACTCAACCTGAACATGAACTCGATTTGTGAACTTAAAGCCCAAATTTCAAAATTTCGGGTTGGGCTTGGATTGGGCTGGGCTAGCCCGCCCAAGTTGCAACTCTACCCATCACCCAACACCTCCACCGCCCCACCCATCACCACCACTCCCACCCAATACCTTTATCACTACCAAAGACTTTAGGCAAACGGAGGCGAAAGCCAGAGTGCGCTAGCAGCAAACTCATGCTTGAAAGCAGAAAACAGACCCAATCTATATAAACCATGTATTCTACATATACATAGGTGTCTAATACCTTATAATGTATAATCAGACATTTAAATCAATTAATCAAGTTTCTTAGATTATATGGATATCGATAAACATAAGGAAATACCGGATTGGGCTAGAACTTTAAAAGGAAGAAATGTTGGGTTGGGCTGGTCTGGACTTTGGTGAGGTAAAGAATTTGGATAAAAAGGTTGAGTCGATATAGATTGCTCACTATACTGATTTTGTTGTTTATTTATTTTTTATTATTGATTGTTAATGAAGGAGAGGTGTTGGAGTCTCTGTAACTAGGCTTTGGATCGGAACTTCTCATTCTCTCTCTCACCTCACTGTTTCTCTCACTAGATCGTCCCTCCACCCTACTCAATTCATCCTCCACCTCACTCTTTCTCTCTCTAAAAATGAATTTTCTTTTTTTAATCAGGAACAAGAACGAAAGAAAGGATCTAATAGGCCCATCACAATTTTAGTTTGGCTCCCCTGTTTGGCTGTTTTGTACGTGTGTCTATATTTTGTGTATATATATCTATATATATATATAGATATATGTGTATATATTTACTACATACATGTTTGGCTGTTTTATATATTTATATAGATATATATGTATGTGTGTGTGTAATTTTGAGGAGTTGGTTTTTGTGTGGAGGTGGTGCGAATGGCGATTGGGGATGATGATGGTATGAAAAAGTAGAAGAGGAAGGTGTATGTTGGGGTAGTTTTGGTCACAAAAATAGTCAACAGAAGGTCAAAGGGTAGCGGTCATTTAACACCTCAAAAGTACCATGGTCCTAAAAATTGACATTTGAGATGTAAGTGAAATGTTAAATAACTAATTCAAATATAAGTGAAATCTAAAATGACCTAACCTCATGGGATCTGTAATTTACCCTAATTTATATTGAGATATGTATTAATAAATAAATAAATAAAAAAACACACACACACACACAAATATATCTTAATATTTTTATATATATATTTTTATAATTTGAACTGAAATAGTTCCATATTCTTGTTTGAGTAAGGATTTTGTAGCTTCTTGCTTCGTTGGCGGCAAAAGAGAGAGAAATAACACATTCATACATTTTAAAGGCACCTTAATTTCATAATTGAACAGAATGAAGAAGATATATTCATACATTCTCTGCACCAATTACTTTGGTTAGTGTAAAGCAATTTAACAAGTCCACCTAAACCTTTTGATCCTAAACTCCACAAAGCCCAAAACGCTAATCAATTTTACGTCAATTTTCTCCACAGGTTTAACTTGAAAATCCTTGGAGCTCAACTAGTTTTTTACAACCATGCTGTTGATCTCAATAGGTTTGGCGGCGTACTCAGTTACCACTTCTAGTGACCT